GGAACAAGTTTACCGTTTCATGTCACAAGATGACACTCTTGGCCAGATTTCATCCAAGCGCAGTATCGCTGGACGAATCGCCCAACAGACCATGGAGTGTGCGTGTTTCATTAGGGATTATTCGGAGAAAAAGAGCTTTTGTGAGTCATTGAGCTATTACACTTTCCAATATTGTGAATCTTACGCCATTATTACAGGGAGGAGACTCGGGAAAAATGTTGTTTCGGAGACTGATGATCTGCTCACACAGTACAATAACACTTTGGATGAGCTTATGCAGCAATTTCGGGACCAAGCTCTTCGGGACATAGCCGATCTTGTCCGGTGTACAAGTAAGGATTCGGACGTGCTTCCGACTTTCCATTCACTCAAACCCATTCAGGTGATGAACTGGGTGACAAACTGGATCTCAGCGGTATCCCTTACGCAGCAGGTGCGGGACTAAATACCACGAAACAATGCCTATCAGGGACACGCACGGCCATTCTCTCCCAGATCACTGAATGGATCGACGACAGTGGAGATACTGCTCAGCGTGTGCTGTGGCTATCTGGCCCTGCGGGCACGGGCAAATCGTCTATTGCTCACACAATCGCTAACTGGTTCAACGACTTGGGAGGGCTTGGTTCGTGTTTCTGCTTCGACCGGAACCAAACCGACAAATGTCATGAAAAAGTCTTCTCCACTATCGCTTGCGACCTCGCTGACCGTGATCCGGAGATGAGACGGACATTGGTGAATACAGTTGAACATGCAAAGGCGCTCAAGAACACTATAGATATCATCCAGCAGTGGCGCAAGCTGTTTATGGAACCGCTAAAGAAGTTTTCTGGGTCGAGTGTGGGGCCTGTCTTGATTGTGATAGAAGCGCTGGACGAGAGCGGCGGAGTCGAGACACGGCGTAACCTTCTCCGCATACTTGCAGGTACACTGGAGGGCGACGGTCTTCCCAAAATCACCGAACTTCCATCCAACTTTCGAATTCTCGTTACTTCTCGCGCGCTTCCTGATATCAATTCTGAATTTCAGGATGCTCCACATATTCAGCGGTTATCCATGGACGACATCTCAGAAAAAGACTCGAAGAAAGACATCCATACTTTTGTGTCTCATGAGCTGAAAAAGGTGTCTGGTCTTGGGGACAAAGAATTCGCAACCCTCGCTAACAAAGCTGATGGACTATTCGAGTGGGCACGTCTCGCATGCGAATACATACAAAAACCCTCTGTTGGCTCATACACAATTAAACGCTTCAATTCTGTTGTATCCCACAATCATGGAAAGCGAGAACACTTGTTGTATGGCATGTATAGCTTCATTTTAGGAGAAAACATGGGGAAGGATAGTGCAGAAATCGAGTATCCGCGAGCGCTAGCAAGGTTTCATTCTGTGATGGGACAAATACTTGGCTCAGCCGAACCCCTCGCTTTAGATGCCCTGAATGCCATGCGACGCTGTTTTCCAGACCAAAGCGAGCATTACAAAGTAGAAATCGTGGTAGCACACATGGGATCCCTGCTAAGCGGCACTACCAACTCATCTAGCCCCATCCGACCCCTTCACGCATCCTTCCGCGAATTCCTGACAAACAAACCATCCAGCGGAGACTTTTTTGTAGAGATGTCGAAATCGCAACGTGATCTTGCTTTTGCATCACTTCACATGATGGAACACAACCTTCGCTTCAATATGTGCAATTTAAAGTCTTCATACCTCCCCAATAGTGAGGATAACGGGCTACCGGATAGAGTCGCAACATGCATACCCTCGCACCTGTCCTATTCCTGTCGATTTTGGGCTATGCACGTCCGAGCAACAGATTTCGACACGAAGCTCGCCAAGGAAATAGAATCATTCCTCGGTAACGAGTGACTACTCTTCTGGATTGAAGCACTCGGCCTCCTCAATGCACTCAGCAGTGCAGTTACTGTACTGCCACTCATTACCCAGTGGCTGAAGGTGAGAACAGAGTTACCTGGTGGTGTCAGGCGAAGTGCTTATGCGCGAACACAGGGCCAATCTGGATATAGAAATATTTTGTCCACTGCAATCGATGTGCAGAGATTCGTCCAGGTCTTTGGTGGTATGATTTCGCACAGCACGCCGCATCTGTATGTATCAGCGCTACCATTTTGCCCCATCAAGTCCACGATAGCTACAAAGTTTACTGCAAGGTTTCCGAACACTCTTCGTCTGATGCGTGGACGTCTTGTGAACTGGACAGCTATTCAGACTGTGATCAGTGGGAACACTGATTTGGTTTTGTTAGTCTCATTCTCACCCGATGGCACTCAGATCGTGTCTGGTTCATATGATTCCACTGTCCGGCTGTGGGATACAGCAACGGGACTGCCATTGGGTGAGCCCTTCCGAGGGCACACTGATCCGGTTTCGTCAGTCTCGTTCTCGCCCGATGGAACTCGCATCGTGTCTGGTTCATATGATTCTACTATCCAGCTGTGGGATGCAGCAACGGGACTGCCATTGGGTGAGCCATTCCGAGGGCACACTGGCTCGGTTCTGTCAGTCTTGTTCTCGCCCGATGGCACTCGCATCATGTCTGGTTCAGACGATTCCACCGTCCGACTGTGGGATGCAGCAACGGGACTTCCATTGGGTGAGCCCCTCCAAGGGCACACTCATTTGGTTCAGTCAGTCTCGTTCTTGCCCGATGGCACTCGTGTTGTGTCCGGTTCACAAGATTCCACTGTCCGACTGTGGGATGCAGCAACAGGACTGCCATTGAGTGAGCCCTTCCGAGGGCACACTGATTCAGTTTTGTCAGTCTCGTTCTCGCCCGATGGCACTCGCATCGTGTCTGGCTCAGACGATTCCACTGTCCGACTGTGGGATGTAGCAACGGGACTTCTATCGGGTGAGCCCTTCCGAGGGCACACTTATTCGGTTTCGTCAGTCTCGTTTTCGCCTGATGGCACTCGCATCGTGTCTGGTTCAGACGATTACACTGTCCGACTGTGGGATGCAGCAACGGGATTGCCATTGGGTGAGCCCCTCCAAGGGCACCATGATTCAGTTTTGTCAGTCTCATTTTCGCCCGATGGCACTCGCATCGTGTCTGGTTCACAAGATTTCACTGTACGGCTGTGGGATGCAGCAACGGGACTTCCATTGAGTGAGCCTTTCCGATGGCACACTTATTCAGTTTCGTCAGTCTCGTTCTCGCCCAATGGAACTCGCATCGTGTCTGGTTCAGACGATTCCACCGTCCGACTGTGGCATGCAGCAACGGGACTGCCATTGGGTGAGCCCTTCCGAGGGCACACTGAACCGGTCTTGTCAGTCTCGTTCTCGCCCGATGGCACTCGCATCGTGTCTGGTTCAGACGATTCCACCGTCTGACTGTGGCATGCAGCAACGGGACGCCGGACTGCCATTGGGTGAGCCATTCCGAGGGCACACTGGCTCGGTTCTGTCAGTCTCGTTCTCGCCCGATGGCACTCAGATCGTGTCTGGTTCACAAGATTCCACTGTCCGGCTGTGGGATGCAGCAACGGGACTGCCATTGGGTGAGCCCTTCCGAGGGCACACTGATCCGGTTTCGTCAGTCTCGTTCTCACCCGATGGAACTCGCATCGTGTCTGGTTCATATGATTCTACTATCCAGCTGTGGGATGCAGCAACGGGACTGCCATTGGGTGAGCCTTTCCGAGGGCACACTGGCTCAGTTCTGTCAGTCTTGTTCTCGCCCGATGGCACTCGCATCGTGTCTGGTTCAGACGATTCCACTGTCCGGCTGTGGGATGCAGCAACGGGACTGCCATTGGGTGAGCCTTTCCGAGGGCACACTCATTCGGTTTGGTCAGTCTCGTTCTCGCCCGATGGCACTCGCGTCGTGTCTGGTTCTTTAGATTTCACTGTCCTGCTGTGGGATGCAGCAACGGGGCTGCCATTAGGTGAGCCATTCCGAGGGCACACTGGTTTGGTTTGTTCAGTCTCGTTCTCGCCCGATGGCACTCGCATCGTGTCTGCTTCACGAGATTCCACTGTCCGGTTGTGGAATTTAGTGACAGACGAGCAATCCCAGAAACGCACTAAGACCCACTCCCCCACATTCCCTTCGGACAGACGTACCACCACACCTTGCAAACACGAGACTATCATGTTCACCAATTCTCGGAACAATCGCACCATTTGCTTCGCATCAAGCTTGGAACATGCACTACAAAACCCTGACGAGCTTCTCAAGGATGTCTCTACTGAGCTACCCGAGGATGCTTCCGCTGAGCTACTCGATGGCACCTCTCATCTTAATTCAACCCTTGTCGCGCTGAAAAATGGATGGATGAAAGGAGCCTATCATCGGCTGCTTTTCTGGGTACCGCCCCCTTCCCGAGAACAACCGATTTATTCTCTTCGGACTGTATTAATGATACCCAGTGGGCAAGAGATTGATTTGAGTCGGATGGCTCATGGAGAAGACTGGTCGAATTGCCGAGATGTGTGAGTCCATGGCCTTGATTGTCTCTTGTAGTTGCTGAACCAATACTTCCAGCACTACTTGCAAATAATCCAGTTGTAGTAATACCGAGTGTACGGTTTTGTTCCATGTCGATCCTATATTTGCTATTAAGCTTGAATCTAAAGTTATTCCCTATCGTTGTGGTTGCAGAGTGGACGCTTCAGCAATAGCAATGCGCAGGGTTTCCAAATCCAGTGTGCGCTACAAGTACCGTAGAGTAACGACGACGCGATGAGGTTTGCTTCTCTAGTGCCCTTTGTTCCTCAGGATGCCTTAAATTTCGTCCTCCATAAATGTCTCTCATCAGACACAGGTAACAACACGATTCTTTGATTGATACAACATCGGTTACTAGCATTGTTAGCTTGATACCAATTATTTCAAAACAAGTTTGACGGGTATTGAAAGTCCTCCAGGCCCACGAAGTTCTCCTTGATGCTTCTCGCCGAAACGAACCGGTAGAAGATGTTAATATTACCAGCTTTGTCGTTGGTCCCACTCGTCCTCCTCCAAAGGGTTGTCAGCCCACGATCGCGCCAGTGCATTTCTCGTTGTAATAGACGTCGCTGGCAGCATTGCATAGCTCAGTGTCTGTGGCAGTTAGAAAGGCTTTGCGGTCTGCAGAGAAGCTGGAGAAGAGGTTGTCAGTCAACACATATCGCAGAGATCTTGCGACTCACATAGAGCTAGTCAGTGCATTATGCGAGGTGTTATCAACGAGCTCCAGAGTCTTCTCATAATTCGCGTCGTCGTATACATAAGCCTGAAAAGTTGTTGATACATCTGGCCGCATTTCCAAACAAAAAATCATCAGTGATGGCAGGACCAAAGATTTCTTCCTTCATGGTGATCGATTCAGGATCTTTGGGTCCGCCTCACCGGTGCCTCCGATAAGAACCTCCCTTCTCGCATCCTTGGCTTTCTGGATGAAGCCAATTGTTTTGTCATAAGCCGGACGACACCGGTAGCAGATGTAATGGTGGTTAGCTTTATGTGCACCTATCTAATACACCTGGATCTTCTATACCAGTATGGACAGTGCTGTTCGCTTGTCATTGCTGTATAACACACGAATTAATGGCCCCTGGCAGTCCATGAGACGTCCGAAGGTCCAAGACATTCAATACAGTTGCCAACCGGCATGCAATATGTCACGCACCAAGGTGTTTTATGGTTTATGGTATCTTCTTTGACACTGAGCCTGAGGTATATACACTGCTGTGTGTATACAAGCATAGCTCGTAACAATATTGAGAGTACAAAATTGAAATTGGCTCGTGTTATTTGTACATGTGGGGCTCAGCTGGTATTTCGCCGCATCACTGCCGCAGTGGCACCACACCGAAACATACAACTGTCACATCATGCACAAGCCCCGACATTCCTCAAACGTTGCGATAGTCGCAGTGGGTGGGTATATATGATGATATTGAATAGTCAAAAGACGCACGCGGTTCCGTTCCAACAAAGGAGCCCTCGTTGCTCCGATGGCTCCTTATCATCTACGCGGAGTTCTTCAGGAAGGACATCAGCTTCTGGTGGTAGCCCGGCTAAGAACGTCCTACCGTAAGGTGCTCATTCGCTATGGATTAATATGGCCAAGCTCCCCTTACGGATGGACAACTTGAAATGGACATCTTCTACCTCATAATACGCAGCGAAACCTTCTTCACCACTGTCCTCACCAATCCTCACAAAAATTAATACTGTCAACGCTACGGTGAATGTAAAGGTTGCAGCGAACGGAGCACACGATCGAGTCGTCACAAATAGAAAGACAAACGTCTAGCCTCAGATACTATCGATGGCACCTCACCATTGCGATCGCGGGCCAAATCATCCTCTTATGCACCACACCGAACCCCCATCCCACAAAGTCTCAACGATGCTGTGGAGATGCTATCGTTGTCTGAGCCACAGGCTACTTCTGACACTGGTCACGGGCTACCATCGTCATCCCCATCGGCCATAGATAAACCACGGCTGAGCATAAGCCATCCTCCCAGAGAGTAGATGAATGAGAAACGAGAACACCAAAACTGGTCACGAGCAACACATTTTGGATGGCACGCAGTACGTCGATCCCTGCCACAGTATTTGATAAGACTATTAGCAGTCCTGTTCTCAACAAAGGTACAACTTTTCACTACCGATAGTACTTTCTTGGCTGATAACCTGACACGTCCAGAGGCAACCAAGAACATGAGCGCTGCAAAGAGCCCCACAGGAGAAAGACCAATTACGATATTCGGAACCTATTCACCCTGCTCCTGCTATTACTTTGGCATATGGGTAGTAGTGATGTTCTGGCCCGGCTTAGGCTCGGCTTCGAAGGGCTTAGGCTCACAAAAATTCAGAGCCTAGGCCGTGAGCCCAAGCCAGCCCAAAGCCGGGGCTTGGGCCCAACCAGGCCGCGGCTTTTGGAAGCCAACAGATGCTCATTAGTGTAGGCTAGTAGTAACAAGCAACAGCGTGAATACAACGTATCTAAACGTCCATCTCAACATCCGACACGTCCTCGGCATCATCACCCAAAAGCATCATGTCCTAAGCTTCTTCTCCATCCACAACATCACCAGTCTCTGCGTCCGCTTCCGCTTCTTCGTCATTGTCGTCCAGGTAATCCAACTCAACGAGAGATGATGGTTGAGGCTCCCGGAACAGAAGATCGTGTCGTAGCGCACATTTCACAGACGGCGCTGATGGTATGGGAGAGGTGGGTGGAGATTGCGTGATTTCGGTAGTGGATGAAGTGGAGGTATGTTCAGCAGCACATTTAGCAGCCTCCGCAGCGTGGAACTCGTTAATTGCCTTGGTTTGGGATGGCAGTGCTGCCTGCTCGGCATGCTGAAGAAGGGTGGCTGTAGGTTTCGTTTTGCGCACGGGACGTGCAACACGGTGCTCGGCATCTGTGTTTGTCATGGGTGGGTAGCAGGTAGGGATGTTAGAGGGACACGTACCAACATAAATCGATTGAAAGATAGTACTGGGTGCGCAATCACGCAGACACTTGTGAAGGCGAAGCACAAAAGGCTTTAAATTTACTAAAAATATCGATTTGCGCAACTGAAACCTGGTAGAGTGAGTTATGTCAAACTCGCAAAGCACAGGACATAGTGCTGGCAGCTCACCGTGGCTTTTCCGTAGCAACAGACAAGAGATAAGGCCTTGAAGGAGGGTGAATTGCTGGATATGTTGGACAGTGCAGGACCATCTGAGTTGAAGCTGATAAAGTGATGGAAGTCAGAAGCTTAGAAAGACAAAAATAGAGTCGGGAAACGTACCTCCGGTGAGTGCCACTGAACATGCCAAAGCCACGGCTTAGGCCGCCGGCTCAGGCTTTTCGAAACTCAAGCCCAGGCCCAAGCCTTCCTCAGGCCGTGACTTAGGCCTGGGCTGGGCCCGGCTTATTTGGGCCCGGCTTGGGCCGGCCCAGGGCCTCAAGCCGAGCCGTGCACATCACTAATGGGTAGTAAGTACGCCACATCTATGGATTAACAGTGTCTCATACCTCCTCTCAAGACATAAACTATCCTTCATTACTTCGCATCAGACTTTCCATAGTTCGTCGAATCAGACTACGCAAGACATTTCTCGACACATTGTACAGGCTTCATCTTCAGGCGCAAGGCTCCAATTGCACGAATGATGACATAGCAGAAGGCCGGTACCCATTTCGAGTCCTTGCGACTAGCTATTCAACATATATCTAGGCGCCCCTAAGCTTACCAAGTACCGTCGGCTTACTAGAGGAACAGCGATGGTTACTTGGAGAAGGTTTGGCTCGTGGCAAGCTAAGGGATGGGGTATATTGCCAATCGATAAAGCAGCTCAACGGGAATCCCAATGGCATACGTATATCATCCGTCTATATCTGGTCTCTAGCCATCTTACAAATGTTTTAGGGAAAGCGTCTTCAAAGGCTGGCAATACTCTATGTACTCCTTATTGCTTTACCGCCCTCGAAGAGTTTCGAGACCTACCTGCGTTCCTTTATGCAACTCGAACGGCTCAGCAAGAGGGCGGGTTAACGTGATAAGTACTGTCTCCACCGTCTAGTTGCGATCTCGAAGAAAGGACCACGCATAAAGCCTCTGACGATGGCAGAGATCGAGACCGCATCAGATGCTGCCTTCAACCCATTCAAATTCAGGGAACCGCTGTGCGTGACGGTGCGCCTGCACAGCGCAACTACCTACACAAGCAGTCTCCCAGTCGGTTTACCGTTCCTCGTAGACGGATTATCGCTCTTGGGGTTGTGAAAGTGGAGGGCATCTACCGCGTCCCTGGGGATAGCGACTTCGTGTTGGAACTGAGGTTGCGCATTGATAGGATCAATTATACGCCTGACGGCATGTGTAGATGATCCACATGTCCTAGCTTCGTTAATCAAGCTCTGGTTGCTCAAGCTATGCGACCCGCTAATGCATGAAGAGATGTACAAAGACTGCATTACGCATTCTCACGAACCTGAGACGCGCACACAGCTCATATGTGTCTGTCCAAGATAGACAAGCGTGGTCGTTGTTTTCCTGATCAGCTTCTTGCAGTTCTTTGGTACAGACGGTGACGAAGATGACTTGGACGAATTCTGGCGCTGGCGATGGCACCGGGCTTGCCGAGGTGTAATTCGGAGTCTATTCAGTGCACGTTCCGGTGATGTCCTTGTCGATCTGTATTGATATCTTTGCAGGTACGAACAAGTGTTCGTCTATAATGTTTTGATGCATATCAAGTGCGATCAAATTGACGTGGATAACGATAATGTTCCTGTCATGGCCTTGGTGCCAGTCTACCATCGTCCCACAACCTCGCCTGTCTAACTCTCGCAATAGAAAATGAGACATGTCTACCGTGGTATCGTATATCCACCATCACCCACCATCCAACTTGAAATTGCATTCATTTGTATACAGACATCTTCAGTCCGTGCAAGTGTATCTCTTATCATCCATCAGGGTAGCACACACTCCTTAATTACGACAAAAATGTATAGATTAATATGCTATTTGAATTCCAGCTGATCTTCGCCCAGTATCTTGGAATCCAGCAAATCATCCAGCCCTGTGGCAGCTGTCCGTTCAGAGCCTTGTTTCCGACGTGTTGGCTGTGCATGTGACTGGCGAGAACCCCACCGGCCGAACTCATAGCCGTCCTCCACATCCTCCTTGAGTGCATCGCCCTTCCACCCATCCAAAGCCGGCAATTTCTTGCCCGGCCTTTTCCCCTGTTTCCTTCTCGGCTCCTTGATAGTAAGCTGCTCGATCTTGGACAACATCCCAACAACTTCTCCACTCCCAAACACAGACTCCTCTTCCCAAATCGTGCGCGCACCTACCTCCCGCCTTAGTTTTTCGACGAGTTTCTTGGTTCTGCCATCTGGCTCGACGCCATTGACGCGCATCTCTTCGAGGGCGTCATGCACGCCTCTGAGGTCGCGAAAACATGACCAGCGGGTTTCTATCAGCTCGTTGTATGCGGGAGTGGTGCATCCGAATACGTAGCTTGGGATGCTCAAGTGCCGGGCATAGTCGAAGATGGAGAGAGCGAGGTGGGGGTCACGGTATTTATCACGAAAAGAGCGCATGAGGTGCGCGATGAGGTAGGGATAAGTCGGGTGTTGGAGTTCAGGGTGCATAGACGTAGGTGGTGGCGGTGGATTTGCGCTTGCACTTGAGTTCGAGGTTGGGGTAAGGCCTGGAGCATGCTGTTCCTCGGCTTTAGCAATAGCATTCCGCGCGCGTTCCTCGTATTGCTGAGACTGCCCAAAAACCTCGCGCATAGACCATTCAAGCAGCTGCTGATCCGTATCGCAAAGCTCCATTTCCTCCTTCTTCTTATCAAATTCCTCATCCGCCTCTGTCGTCCATTTCAACCGTTTTGAGTGTCGTCTGAGTTTGCCGAATAAATCTGACGTTGGGGCATGACCAAACGGCTTGCGACCGATTCCAATTCCGTCGAGAACAGCGAGCGGGTCTTCTTGTTTTGAGGAGGAGAGTTTGGCGGAGGGGTTCTTTTGCTCTGAGACCGCGTCGAAGATCATGTTGAACATGTCGTCGAAGGCGCTGACTTCGCGGGCGGTCATCGCTTGTCTGCGTGCACGGGTGCGCCCTGAAGTTTCTACGCCCCCAACGCGTAAGTGATTGTGGACTGGGGATGGGAGGATAGGTGGCATCTCTTTTATTGAGTCGTCCAATATATGGTCCCAAGGAGATTCTTTGGCAGCAAAAATGGAGTCGGGTTGCGTGCTACTGCTACTGCTCTCTGACAACGTAGCAGAGGATGTGAGGCAGCGTGCGGCTGCCCTTGCAAGACTTGCACCTGCATAATTGAAGACTCGATGGTAGACGAGCATGAATGAGTATAGATATTACTAATTTGACCAAAATGGGGCATCCTTGAAATATTACATTTGCTCGACTAACTTACATATGTATCATGATATATCGCGTCTAATAGTGCACTACTACGTTTCACGTCGTCTTAGGAAGGCCGTCGATGCAATCTCGAATGAGACGCAAAGTCTCGACCTTGTCGTACAACACGCAAGTGCACTCAGTATTAGGGCACCTGGCATCCCAGCAAGCGGTCGCCTCAGGCCACGCAGTCAGTCCCACATCAACGACCGTATCTCCTAGCGGTCGAACATCCATCTCCATCACAACTCTATACTTGAGCTCTCTCCACGTATGATGATCAATCTTCCATCTACACCTCGGACAAGAAGCTGTCATGCTTCCTGTCACGAACGGCTGCTCATTGAGTCGTTGCCGGATGCCCTCGCGTCGATTGCGATGCAAGTTCATCAGGTCAAGCACAGCGCCTGTGTGCAGCTTTCGGAGGATGGGTTGATATTCCTCTGCGTAGATATTAAGAGCGAGCGACTGCGCGGATGCATGTCTGGCCTCTTCTTCCCATCCACAACGCGTTGCGGCTGTGTATAGACGCAGAGGCTGGTCTAAGAGCGGGGGAGTCATGATGAGCACGCGTATGAGCGACATGGGCCCTGGCATGTCGTATTTTTCTGCAGCGAATAGCATTGCATCCACCTCGTCGTATGATATGAGTGGATTGATCGGAAGACCGCAGATCATGAGTAGGAGACTCTCTAGTGTGTGCGAGTCCTCGTCTAGATTGATGATCTCGGGGTGATTCGGAAGAGGGTTTTGTTGAGGCATGGAAAAGAGGGATCGGAACCAGCCCGATGTCGTCTTGAGCGTCCATGAGTGGATACGGAACAGAGTATGATCTTTGGCGCCGAGCACAACATCGGCGTCTGGAGAAGAGAATGACTGGTGGAAGGTGCCGCCATAATTCAGTGCTTTGACTAAAGCTGTATCAGGGATGGACTCCGTTTCCATCATCGCGACTGCCGGTTTAATCAAGTGAGATGAGCTGACTTATAAGTAGAGCAGAACTTCAGGTCAGTACCTTGCTTCTTTCGATATCAAACGGCCTGACTTGGTGGTACCGTGCAGAGCTTGCAATTGGGGTTTGTCAGGCTCGTCGAGGGTACTAGCTGAGCTGCTAGCGCTGAAACACGACTGATCACATGTTCACTTGAGCATTGTTACATAAATAATAACCCCTGTCTACTGGTAATTAGACGACATTCAACAACTAACAATCTCAAAATCACACACGAACGCTGCATGTGACTAACCGCTGTCAGGTGGAGCGTCAATGTTCGGTTTCACAAAGCTAACATCTTGAGATGCACACTCCAGAGATCCTGTTCAACATAATGTAAGATTTCAAACACATAGATAAAGCTCCATAAGAAGTTCTACAAATTTCAACTCTCGCAAAATACATGACATACAAGCAATCTTATAAAGAAATAAGCAACTTAGTGAGGCCATTGATTTGAACGAAGATACTATGAAACATTGAGATGCAGATATCACAGAACGGATATCTAGACGCACCAATGTCGCATCCCCTAATCAAGCATGGGTGATTGTGTAACGTCCAGTGTTCGCGTCGCGCGAGAGGTTCCAAGTCGTGTTCTGAGCAAGCCCAGTGAGGTCCTGCGACCAGATCGCAGGAGTGTCGACTTGACCTCGCAAGATTGAGGTCTCTTCATAGTCCGATGTGATGTAGGCCCGCAGGACCGGAGTGAACTTTGCCGTGACGCGACTGCCATCTCTGCATATGATATTGTGAACGATCTGAAGGAATACAGGAAAGATGACATACCCAACATCACTGAAGAAGAGTACGGGTGTGGGCATAAAATCTCCTTTGTTCACGAAGCCTGGAGGTGGACAATACGCTCAGGGAAAAGAAGAGGCGACGAAGATGGTCACAAACCGACTGCTATTTCTTGAATACTCCCAGTGTGGTTCTGGGCCTGCAGGATGCCAGCGGTTCCTGCCTGAGGTGTCTGCACGAGGGATTCGTCGGTGGTCGCGATGAAAATAAACGGAAGCCAGACTTACAGAGAAATGATAGACATCGTTGGCTTCTGTCAGGATTGTTTTCTCGCTGTTCTGTATCGTGGCTTGCGTTGGTGCTAGCAGTTTCGGAGTAGATGAGAGTCGCTCACATTGATATTGACGGAGGTCGCAGCGCTGATGACCTTCCCACTCTCGACCTGGGCTCTGGCGAATGCAAGCCTATACAATATATGAGCGACTTCAAGACCATTGATATTGCCGATCATCTTACTGGGCCGTGTAGGTAGCGGTAGCCCTGTATGGACCTGGAAAGAGGGCTCATATGTGAGTCGGGAACTTGGCAGCAAGAGAATAGAAACACCCACCCGACTTCCCGAATTTGCTGACCCTGAAAAAATAGCAAGGTTTTAAATCATCCAAGACACAAGTACGGGCACTTACTTCCAAACTATCGGGAAGACGTCCTCGTAGAGGCCTTCCACGTTGGGACTCCAAGCGAGCATGATCGTGACCTCCTTGCCGAGGTCGTTGCTGCGAAACGTCGAGTGAAAAATTTGTGCAGAGCGATATCGCGAATACTCACGACTGGAAGGTCAAATTCTTAACGAAGGGTCGGGGTGACATTGTTTCGGATTGTGAAATACGAAGTGTGCTGGTACTTGAGATTGAGCGTGGATTGAAGAGCTTGAGTTCTGCAGTTAAAGTCTCAGCAAGGAGGCTTTTATATGTTTTGGATCGCATAGGTTGTACCTCCTTCCTTGGTTCGCGATTCAGCCAGCGTCTCCTTCGTGCCCCGGTACCTGACGCTGGAGACCCTAATCATGCGACAGGGCGGTAGCACATGATGGCCCTTGAATCGGACTTGCTAGACAGCCGGCTTTTGCGTGAACCGATTTACCTGGGCGTTTGAGTTGCGTGCTGGGAAGTTCGTGGCTGCCGTTGGCTGTCCTTCATACATTCCAATTGTGCTCGTACTAGTTGGGGGTTGAACGTTGAGTCACGGTTACGGTCGCAAGTAGGTAGTATACGAAAACAGCAGCCTATGGCCCATGGCGCATTTTGCGACTGCAACATCTTTTTGTTATAGTGCTGACCTCGCCGGCCCGCCGAGGTTGAGTCTGGTGTGAATTAACTGTAAGTCTGTAACAGTTAAAGTTCAGTCAAACGAGCTGCAAGACGCTGAACCTGCCAGTTTTAACCGGCACATGGACTTGACTTTTCCGATCACCGGTTCATTGATGACTTGTGTACATTGCAAGTTGCTGCAAGTGTCGTTCAGAACGTTCAAGGCGCTTCGCCTGCTCACCTGGTCTTAGATCAAGCGCATCAGCGAACAAATTAAGAAATGAACTCTTACGTACAGCATCGGCAGTTTCCGAATTGAAACAACTGAAATGAACGCTTAAGTTGAGCGCATTACGGACACTTACGAACGTTTACAACTTCAGTAGTGCACTCCTCCGATTGGTGGAGGTGCATTTTACTGTTATTATTTTATTTTGTTTTTATAAACCTACAAAATATGGAATCAAATGTTTTGATTAATGATAATATTTCTCAATGGTCCCTGTCGTGCTAACAACTGATGCACTGGCCTGAGTTGTGTCAATTCAGTACACACTGCTGTGTCAATCTGGCTTCAAGCTCAAGCCATGCTGATCAAAGTTGTTGCCCACCGTTCACAGTATGTGCTTATTCCTCCTCCCCTTGAATCATTAATTGGATATTGATTCTTGCTCCGTGTCTCCTGTGGTACCTGTGGCAACTCAAGCCACCCCACCAAGGATTGCTTCACCAAAGGAGGAGCTATGGAGGGAAAACACAACAAGGTCCTGGCGCACAAACGTGCCACATGAGAGGCTAGGGGGTCATCAGCAGGTAATAAGACAACCACCGCGCCTAAGCCTGCAGCTAGGGAACTGCACAGGTACGGGTATACCCATGCGGGTGCGGGGTATGGGTACGTGTGGGGTACAGGTACGGGTCGGATATTATGATACCCGTACCCTACCCATACCCATGTGCCAGGTTTTTGTGTGCTTTAGCACATTTCAGTCACTCTCAATATCAGCATTGTTTGTACACACTTGTATCTGCTTGTCCACTCCACATTCACTCATACTCATTCTCACTTGTTTCAATTGCTTGTCTCAACTCATTTGCGCTTGTCTGCATTCATTTCAACTTGTTCGTGCTTGTTTCAACTCATTCGCACTGGTATTGACCCATTTGCACTCGTTTGCACTTGCATCAACTCATTGTCGCTCATTGTCCAATGCTGCCACTCATTTCATATGTTGCGCTGCTTGCGCATGTAGACTCGACTCTGGATGGGGGACTCATATGTTTGTTGGACAAGGTGTGTGTTTTTTTTTCCAACATCACACATGCGGCTCACTTGACAGGTACAGTCATATACGGTAAGATAAACTAAAAGATGGACAGCGCACGAGCCGGCCATGGCACATCATTCCCGTTCTCTGTTTGGATACGCTCACACTCGATGTCCTCTCCTCCGGTTCTATCCTTTGGCTGGTTGCTGTGTCTCTCCCTCGGCTCTTGTCCCTTCCTTCTTGACACCTGTGCCATCCACATATGTTCGAGTCACGTCAGCATTCACTGACGTGTGCTGGACATATTTGCTAAGCACTGGCGGCTGACCCACAGGTTTACCCTCACAGGGTTGTTGATACCCAGAAGGAAACCCTGTACACATACCCATACCCACACTGCGGGTATGGGTATATCTTCGGGTATGGGTATGGGTCTGACTGTGCACACCCGGGGGTATACCCATGCAGTTCCCTACAGCAGCCACTGGGAAACCCAGTGGCCTTTGCTATGATACCAGTGGTCAAGCATACTTGCTTGACAGTGAGTCGCACCAGGCTATCTACATGGTGTCTCCCCTGGAACTGGTTGACACTCATGCTCCTTCAACTGAGTATGCAGGTCTCATCAGCAACACCATCACTCCCACATTTATACATGAACTGTCTGCCATAGATGAAGATGAGTATACCGCACTCATTGCTGCTGTGGATTCTCTCACTACCAATCTCGACTGGCCCTCACACACCTGTCCTGTCGACTTTGCTGGTATCACCTACAAAGCTCCCAACCAGCATCTATGCACCATTGTGGACCCATCCATTGTCTCATTTTTTCTTGACAGTGGCGCGTCTGTTCACATCAGCAACAATGAGGCTGACTTCTTTAGTCTTTGGCCCATTCCCCCCTGTCCTATCAATGGCATTGGAGGTTCCTCCATTCAAGCCATAGGCATCGGCACTCTGCACCTCGTTGTTGCTAGAGGAATCCAGATCACCCTCGACAATGTTCTCTTCATCCCCACTGCCACTGTCCACCTCATATCTGTTTCTACTCTCTGCTCAGTGCATTGATGTGTCACATCTTTTGACACCACCAACTGCTGGGTCCAATCACATAACATAACTTGCATGCTCTCAGGTCAGGCTATGCTGTCATATTTATGCATAACCATGACTAACTACAGGTATTTTGGTTATGCATGGCTGTTGCTAATTCCCAGACCCATGTATTTTATGCATAATGGTGCCTGCACCTCATTGATCCTTCCCACAATATTTCCACACCTCATAGCTTCGCATTTTTGGCCACCTGCCGTGGGAATTACCCCACAACACCCAAAACATTACCCAATATGTTATACCCCACAATTTCAATTATTCCCACACCCTCCCCACTTCACTGCAGCTTCACTACCACACCACAACAGGTCCCCTTTATATACAAGTAGTTTAGTATATATGTGTACAATATAATATAATAGACTGCTTTTTTTGTTTGTTTGTGTCACTGCTAGTGATGCCGCAGCTCGACTCGGACTGGTTCGGGCTCGGCTTTTGTCAGTTTGTCAGCAGTTCGGCTCTCCTGGTGAGTTAAGCTACCTATATCCAGCTTGGTTCAGCTGGCTAGCCACACAAGCCGGCTCAAGCCAACGTTTGTTTTCATTACCAATAATCTCATTGCTGACGGTGTTTGGATTCACTTCTTCTCATTCCCTACGCAGTGCACGCGCATACCCCATCATTCAACCATCTGTTGTTGAATATATTGTATTTGTCCTTACCTATCGCAGGCTTCACAGCATGAGTAAAGTCCCAGCTTGAGTTGACGGAAGATTTAGGCTGGGTAACATTCTGGGATCTGGGTCATATGGTACGTAGTTACATGACATTGATATTCAATGCATAGTCTCGCTAAGCCTACTTACTAGCTGTTGTATACCGCGCACAGAACTTCCTCAATGATGATGTAGTTGCCATCAAACTTGAGCCCCTCACCTCTCGCCCATCTTCTGTGGAGTGCGAATACAAAATTCTGAAACGACTTGGAAATGGAGTTGGGATCCCCTGTGTCATTTGGTTCGGTAGGGAGTCGACATATCATGCTTTGGCTCTCGAACTCCTTGGCCCATCATTGCATGATATCTTCAAGGCACGCAACCGAAAATTCAGCCTTCACACTGTTGTGAATATAGGAGACCAGCTGGTACATCACTTTGAGTGGGACATTGCAGATGCTAATATATTTCTCAGCTTTCACGCCTCGAGTACATTCACTCATACGGCTACATTCACGGTGATATCAAACCACAGAACATTTTAGTGGGTCTTGGCGAGTCAACGCAAACTCTCTTTGTTGTCGATTTTGGTATCGCAAAGATGTACTGGAATGCTGCAACTGAAACACATATACCATTTCGCCGGGGCCAACCTCTCACAGGCACTCCTGCCTTCGCTTCAATCAACAACCACTTGGGCTTGGAGCCCGGTTGTCGTGATGACCTCAAGTCGTTTTCATATATGTTGATCTATTTCTTGCTTGGCTCCCTTCCATGGCTAACCAGCAACCACGAGAAGCTCTCCACCTCTGACATACTCGAATGCAAAGTGGACACCACCATCGCAGATTTATGTGATGGTGTTCCTCCTGAATTCGCAAACCTTCTAGTCTACTCGCAGTCTCTTTCGTTCTCAGAAGATCCTGACTACGATTACCTTTGCTCATTGCTTCGCGGTCTTCACACCACAGAAATTGGCTTGCTGGATTTCATCCAGCCCAATGACCCTGTCATACATTCTCCAACCTCCAACATTCACTCGGTGGCTGAGGTGGTGTTGCTGTGCCTACCAAAACCAACACCTGTTCACAAATCAACTCGTGTGTGAGTACATGATTTTTTAATCTTCACACACTCATGATTCATGAACCTAGTTTACATCCTCGCAATGGCCCCCTACCGCCTTCAACAACTTCTACCCCACGTCAGAAAAAGAAACTCGTTGCATAGTATGATGGATGTATATATTTTGATTTGTTTGTGAAACTATTGAGAAACGCTGGATACTGTCAGATTACCAACAATCTCCAAAAGGAAATATGTGAACCGTTGTGCGCAAATGCCAAACAAAGCCAAACAACTCACTGATACATCCTTTTCATTTTACCATTCCGTACCCTACTTTGTGCTCACATCTCCGTTCCGCCACCGCCTATGTTCATGATGCAATTACCACAGTACAGTATGTTCCCATCTTAAATTCACTTCATGTCAGACTTAGGAATACATACACTTCTCGCAGTACATGACCATGCTCAAACTTGTCAAGGATTCTGTTCCTTCCATTGAACAGTCCATGACACGGTATCGGATGGATAACCCTGCGGCGTTACATCGCATACGAGTTGGCGTACCTGCGACTGTTGAACAGAGAACGACATGGAGATCTACCTTGATATTCAGGTGGAGTCCAAATGTCTTGAAACACGCGCGTCCACTATTAACTTATCGCCAGGGACCAGGGTGGTCAGCATCAGGTTCTTACTATAGGAAGACCGCAATACGTGATTCGCACAGGTCTGATTTATCCATGCAGGCGTTCAATCACTGTTTGTATAAGTATAGGTGAGCGTAATCATGCACACTAACCTCACCGTACCCGTCGCTCATCACAGTAAGTCGCCACTTCTCTGTTCTGGAGTACTTGTACTTAACGTGTTGCAAAGTAGCGGGGTGTCTGAATCGTGACTATCAGCAAGCTCGACCATTTCAATGGCGATTATCATTGCCGCATGCACCCTCATCATCATCTTAGCCAGCATCTGGATCGTGAAACAACAATACCAGGCCGCAAGACGGTTGCCATTACCCCCTGGACCACCTGGACGTTGGCTATTAGGAAATGTGATGCCAAAGTCATAGTAAGTCATTGTCGAGGGATACCAACATGATCTCTGTCTAACCCCTCACGCAGTGCGCTGTTTCAATTCGCGAAATGGACAGAACAATACGGACCTGTGTTCTCGCTCAAACAAGGGCATAGGATTTTTGTAGTTATAGGACGCCATCAGGTTAGCATAAAACAATACACTGTCTAACCAGACATGAAGTAGATCATGTCACAGGCTGCGGTGGATATCATGGAAAAACAGGGAGCAAATGTTGCCGACCGCCCACGTTCTATTTCAGTGCAAGAGACGTTGTCTGGCGGGTTGAGAATGCACCTTGAGGACAGTAATGAGAGATGGCGCCGGATGCGCAGGTATGCACCCTGTCTCTACTAGGTGTGATCAGTGACTAAATGTAAAGCAGGGTCTTGCATGCAAACTTGCAACCTAAGGTTGCGGAGACCTATGAGCCCATGCAGACCAGGCATGCGAAGAATCTGGTTCTAGATATCTTAAATGATCCAAAGAACCACCAGAGACATGCCATGCGGTACGAACACCAGCTCATACTCGCGGTACAAGTGGTAATCCGAAGATTTTAGTTATTCAGCTTCCGTGATCATGTCCTTCGCCTATGGAAAAATCACTCCGGCTTCATATACAGATCCTGAAGTCGTTTCCATTAACATGTTTTCTGCGCATTTTGGTCAAGCTATGAAGCCGGGAGCATATCTTGTGGATGCGTATCCCATCTTGCATTTCGTCCCAGGCTACCGGAGTCAGCTGAATGCATGGCACAAAGAAGAACTTACTTTCTATGACGGGCAGTTAGACGCAGTGCGAAGACAGATGGTCCGTGATTTTCCTGTGATGATATATATGCTTGCTCACCATTGTGAAGCGTGAGGGGACTGCAAGGCCATCCTTTGCGAGGTTCATATTAGAGCACCAGAAACAGTACCAGCTCGAAGACAAGGGACTGGGATACCTTGCAGGTGTGATATTTGGGGCCGGTTCTGATACGGTAAGTTCTTACATTGCATCATGTCTTCGCTCAACAACTGTTGTAGACTGCGTCTGCAATCACAATTATGATGATGGCTGCTGCCACTCATACAGATATGCAGGCTCGCGTACAAGAGGAACTCGATAATGTCATGGGGCATACGCAGCGTAGGTTATGCATTTTCTTTATTCGTCTACTGACTGAGATAGCTACTGATTAGTGCCAACATTTGATGATCGGGAAATGCTGCTGCAGGTTACCGTGTTTATGCTCGAGAGTCTCAGGTGGAGACCTGTCAGTATTGGAGGTACGTCTTATTTGTGTTGTGATGATGCGATAATGATCGACCACCTTGCACTATGGGCTTTGCACATCGCGCGAGTAAGGACATCATTTGGAACAACTACCTCATTCCGGCAGGTGCGACCGTTATTGGGAACCATTGGTCAGTAGGCAATCATTTTCGTCCTCTCACCTTTGGGTCTGACGCTCGTGCTTCAGGGCCATCGCAAACCACCCTGAAGTCTTTCCAGAACCACAGACATTTAATCCTCAGCGTTGGATTGATGATGCAGGTCGCGTGCACGATGATCTCTGTTTTTTTACTTATGGCTTTGGCCATTGGTGAGTGACATCATTCATCTCTCGACCATTTCTTATGTCTTACTTGAATATGTCAGAGTGTGTCCCAGTCAACATCTCGCGAATCGGTCGGTCTTCGTCAACATGGCTCTTATTCTGTGGGCTTTCCGCCTTTCGGAGAATCCTGCATCAAAGATCGACACGCTTGCATTCTTGGACACTGCAAACAAGACTCCGACATGGTAGCCATGTTTGATAATGCATTCAAGCAGCAACCTCAGAGCGAGGAACTCGGTGCACAGACGTTCTTCGCTCATGTGCGAACTGGCAACTGGAAATCTTGTCAACAAGTGAGTATTTCTACCTGTTCCTTCCTTTGTACACAAGTCAAATCATGTGGTCTTTGCGTGCATACATCTAGTATATAGTCAGGCTGCCAGAGGTGTAGCGAGCGGGTGGCATCTGCATTGTATTTCCTATAGCTACCATGTATTTGCAATTTAAATGGAATATTAATAATATTTAAAATACACAGCCTGCTTGAAGCTGTGAAACGAACATGAGGACTTAAACTTTCAGTGCAGTGACGCTCATCATGTAATATGTACATCCTGACTCCTCTCTGAGTGACTCCCACGTGTCTCTTATCTTCCAACTTGCTGCCAACTTGCTGCTGGCTCCGAATCATCACATCTCAAATCTTGATCATTATTGGATTCGATCAGCCTCGAGCACAGCCCCAGCAACAACTCAGCCTATGCTTTCCTACTCACGGACTCATTGATGCATCCCCTACCTCACATTCAAGACTATGTCATGCAGCACAGCCTAGGCCCTAGGGACCTTTCACTTGTGATGCTGTCGAAGACAGCTGATATTATGTACCAGCGTGCGTTCCATTGTCCTGTTTGCATATTTCCATTAATGCTATAGTGATCAGACCCTGTAACCCTAAATATCCTGGCAAGCCTCAAGTCCAGGTGTAACTGGTTTTTCCCCACCACGCACATTGGGATTTTCCTGGGTCTCCCCAGGTTGAAGTTTTGTTTTATATATATACAGGTGATTCGCTTGTTGTATCTATAGCTCTATCATCACTAATATGAACAACCGTCGCGGCAAAAATCGAAAAAATGCCAATGCTACCCAGGCTGACGCCCCAGCTGTTACTCCCAATCCCACCACTACTGCTGTTGCTGCAGCAACCATCAATACTACTGCAGCAACTTCCACTGCCCTCTGACGCCCTCAACGAGAGCGTCAGCGTCCTCGAAGATATCAAGACGGTGATACTGAATTCTTCAACATCAACGAAATCAGTGCCGATGATGAGGAGGATGGTGCTCCCATAATAGTTGCACCTAATCCAGCCTCTAGCCCACTTCAGACAGGCAACGGTGCCCTCAATTCTACTCCAATCAATCCCTTGGCCACCACTCCACCTAATCCCTTGGCCACCGCCCCAACTAATTCCTTGGCCACCGCCCCAACCAATCCCTTGGCCACAACCTTAGTCAATCCCTTTGCTACGACTCCATCGAATCCTTTGGCCACCCATGATGGGAAAAGAAAACAAAAGGGGGTGGCAGTTGTCGACATCCCTCACTTCTATAGGACAGAGGCATCACTTAAACATACCTGTATCCCCTGCGAGTAAGTGTCATGTCTGGGAGTGTTTTGTCAATCTCACTCCTCCAACAGGGATATACATAAGAAAGACCCTTCATGGAAAATCCAGATGTACGCTGCTAGTTCAACCACGGGCACTCTTCGCACCCACGTGCATGTCTATCACATGGACCTTTACCTAGCAGAATGTGAGCGCCGGGGCCCAGTGGCCTGGCCAATTTTGATCAACGAGGTGCAATCCCGACTCGACGAGGGCTGGACCATCTCGCAGATGCGTGAAAGGCTCAGCCAGGACCCAGATGGTGCAATTGAGACACTCGGTGTTCCCCCCAATCCCGTATGCAACAATTCACTGCCTGCACAGTCAGAAGCTGTTTTGCCGGACTTTTCAGTTGATGAGATGCACCGACATATTGTTAGATTCATCATAGCTGATGACCAGGTGAGTAGTATTTATTTTACATGCAACATTATTAACGGTCATCTCCAGCCAATTAATGTTGTCGAGTGCCCAGAGTTTCGCCGGCTGCTCCGTCTCATGCGTCAAGATCTAAAGGAGTCGGATATTCCTCGCCGCACAAAATTTCGCTCACTGATCATAGATGCGTGGCATGACTACTTCCCGGTCATGAAACGTGACCTTGCAGTAATTGTTTAGCTACTGATAATATGCAGTATCTTATGTCCTGTAGAAGGCCCAAGGAAAAGTCTCGTTCACTTCTGACCTCTGGTCAGATCCTAAGCTCCGCCCCTTCCTCGCACTTACTGCCCATTGGCTTGCAAGGGAAAATGCCAATTCGGCGCTCATCTTGAAGGGCGCTCTAATCGCTTTTCATTACATGCCGGGTAGTCATACAGGGAAGGCACTCGGGTCAACAATCTTCAATCTGATCAAGCGTGCCGGTGTGATACATAATGTCAGTGTTCATTTGTGCTGTTTGACATGCTCTGACTCGGTTTAGATGGGACACTTGACACTCGACAATGCTTTCAATAACCAGACTGCAATGGAAGAACTTTCTCGCCAATTGCTGCGACAAGGGATCGAATTCGATGCTGTTGATCGCAGGATCCCATGCTTTCCACACATAATCAATATATGTGTGCAGCACATCATGGACGAGCATTCTACTGTGGACCTTTCAGATGTCGCTGGTCCTTTCGTAGTTGGCAATGTCTCTTTCGACAAGGCGGTGTATATCACGGCTCTGCAAGGTGATGTTATCTGTCAGGCCAGGGCCGTTGTGCGTGCGATCCGCGTGTCAAACAAACGACGTGATAACTTTAGAGATGTCATTCGCTTGGGCAACGATGCGAAGATTTTCCGAAATGACAATTATGAGGAGATAGTGCTCCCGGTTGTTGAACTGCTGTGCGATGAGCCCACACATTGGGACTCGACCTACATCATGCTTAATCGTTTAAGAACACTTCGGCAGGTAAGGCCTCATTTCATAATCCTTGGCATCAGCTAAACAGCAGCCCAGGCCGTTGACAACTTCCTTGATGATAATGATCAAAGGGCTATATTCCATCTGAAGTTAGAGCCAGTGGAATGGCAAATTTTGCAAGATCTTGAGGTGGTCCTAGAGGTCGGCCTTAATTTGTCCAAAATTGAGATATACTTACCATTTTATATTAGGCACTGCATGCTGTTCAGCAAAGCATGTCTAGTGAAAGCACGCCTGTGCTAAGTTGTACCATTCCAGCTTTTGAAAGGTTGGTCAAAAAGTGGAAGGACTTGGCGCAGCGCTTTGCGCACTTGGCACCTTTTGTTGCCATCGGTTTAACTTGGACTGATAAATACCATGACCGGATGAGCCACACAGGAGCATATGGAGTCGCCATGTGTCAGTCCCACGTGTTTCTTTTGTTCAAGGCTGATTCTCATGTGTGTTTGTACAGTCATTGATCCTGCGATTCGTATGTCTTGGATGAATGATAATTGGGACATGGTCCGAGTCAACAAGGCCAGGGATTATATTCTTGAACTGGTGCGTTTATTTACCCTCATAAAAGTGCAACTTTGATCTGATATGCTGTAGATGCGGAAGAGAAGAGCGAGAGATACCTCTGGCTCCGCACTCTCTCTACCCTTGGAACAGTCAGATCACCAGACACGTGCTGCTGCAACACTAGGCTCAACGATCTATGGACTTTCTGACATAGATATGCTGCCGCATAATGAGGGTGGCACCCAAACAGTAGAACAGGAGTTTAGCTCTTACAGCACGGCTGTCCGTAGCCCACGGGGAACAAATTTACTTGCATTTTGGACGGTAAGAGTCCTATGTCTCCATTACGTTTTGCTGATCATGATGTGTTGACTAGACCGCACAGCCCATATTTCCGACCATCTATTCAATCGCAATGGACTATCTCCCCATCCAGGCCTCCGCTGTTCCCTGCGAACACATTTTTTCATCCAGCAGTGAGACATACACAAAGAGAAGAAATCGCATCAGCCCGCCTCTGATGGAGGCCTTACAAATGGTCAAGTTTTCGCTGAAGAAAGAGCGACTCAACTTCACTGACGGTTGGCAAGCCTCGCAGAAGGACATGGAGTATGACTTGATGTGCGCCCTAAGCTCTGGTGATTCTTCGACATTTGGCTCCAGTGATCTTTTGACCTCTTTCACTCCCGAGACTCCTGAATACGAGGCCCTTCTCAGAATCATTGCAGAGCAAGAATGTGATGATGTTCCAGATGTTCCTGCTGTTGTATAATCATACTTTTCACTCGATTCTTGCTCATGTTTGCTTCTCGTCTACTACTACCCATACTTGTCCTAGTGTCTTGCTCCTCCTCGCTCTGTTTTTCTAGACTAGCTTTAATTGTTGACTCGTTTTTCCTTGTGATTCTCGAAAACGTCTTTCTAACTGCACAACCAACATCCGGCACCTCTCTACTTTGACGTGTTGAGTCTCCAACAAATCGATTATATTTACAAGATCCAAGCAGTTATCGAGTCAGCTGTATGTCAGTGCCTTGTTGATCTACTCATGCACAGTTCAACCTCCGTGCAAATGCCCGCTCTTTGTTCAATTGGCAACATTGTTACTGGAGATGATCTTCAGACTCAGGTCATTATCGCATCTGGGGCTTTACCTGCTCTTCTTTAGCTGCTATCTTCCCCAAAAGAGGGTATCAGGAAAGAAGTGTGCTGGACGATCTCCAACATCACCACTGGGTCACCTCCCCAAATTCAGGCAGTCATTGATGCCAACATCATTCCTCCACTCATCAACATCCTTTCCAATGCCGACTTCAAAATGCGGAAGGAGGCCTGCTGGGCAATTTCAAATGCAATGTCTGGCGGTCTTCACAAACCAGCGCAGATCCGCTATCTCGTCTCGCAAGGTTGTATCAAGCCACTCTGTGACCTGCTCACTATGATGGATAACAAGATCATTTAAGTTGCTCTTGATGGTCTCGATAACATTCTGAAGGTCGGCGAGATGGATAAACAGGCTGGAGGTCCCAGATCTGTCAACCAATATGCTCTATATGTCGAAGAGGTGGGCGGTATGATCACCATCCACAACCTCCAATCACACGACAACCTAGAGATATATAAGAATGTGTTCAATATCATGGACAAGTACTTCCCAGATGAGGAGGAAGTGGATGCAGCAATTAGCGCACCTAGCCTTGATGCTACTGGTACATTTGCTGTGAGTTCGCTGATATTGTCCTTTTTCATGTACTAATTATCTGCGCATTTCCAGGATGTTACTGCTCCTCAAGGAGGCTTTAGTTTCGGTCAGCAGTAAACTGTTGATCTTGTTGATTCGCCTATCTCTTCCACTGTGTGCTACTGTCACTTATATCTTGCACCAACCATTATCGCTCAACTCCCCATTCTGTTTGCAACCTGTGATCTCTCCTTACCCTTTACGCTTGTGCGGTATGTTACATGTAATGCGTCTAATGGACGCAAATTCCTTTATGACAACAATATATGTCAGAGCACGAGAAAATGATTCAGTGTAGTAGCTGATAATGCTTATTATTGGTAACCTGTACTACCCAATGATGTCTGTTATGCGATACATGAATTTACAACATTGATCTGAATGCTGATGCCAACATGTCTCGCCCATCTTGCTTTGCACCACCACAAACTGTACCATCATGGCTTCTCAAATCCTCCCGCTAGGTGAGTACAACAGGCAACAAAATTATTGATCACCTTCCTGACAGCCGTTGCAGAGCTGAAAAAAATACTGTGGGAAACATTATGTCAGCTTGCATTCATGTCATCTGTCTCTGTCATGCGTACACAGTGCTTTCTGTCACATCTGAAACCTTTGCACCAAGCCCAACTTCATCACCGCCATTTCCTGCCATTTTCTCAAACTGCGTGCCACTCTCATCACGAAGTCTATGCCCGAAGTATTGAGTGAGTGAATCCGCTGTTGTTCAAGTGTTGACTTCCGATCTGTTGACACTGTCCGAGCATATCTGTCGCGAACAAAAAGAGTCGTGCGTGTCAGTTGCGGCCGAGCAGACCATTGAACGGCAGAACCAATGGCCAGTCCTCGTTCTTAAACCTACTGTGACTGGGTGCCAGGATGCATATTTGAGAGCTTCGTGGTGGACTGTCCCCAACAAATCTATTGATTTTTTTTATAAATATAACGGCTGCCAGCTGGCTTGACCTGCCAGCCATGGCTAAATTGGCCGAGCCGAGCCCTTGAGTATGTAAGCTGTGCATTTGTAACGGCTTGGACAGCCACATTTTAATTTTGGCTGCAGCCGGGCTCGAAGCCGAAGCTGCGGCAACACTAGTCACTGCTCCTCCTTCAGGAGCAATTCAACATAGGGTAGGGTACAGAACACTTTCGCATTTTTGCCCCTTTGGTGGGGAAGTGTTCTATTATATTCAGAACATGTTTAGGAGTATATGTAAAGATATTCCCATCTTTATTTGACCCCCTGAAGCACCCTACATCAATAGATATAGCACATATGCAAGAAAACACAGAATATGTTCCCATTTAATTATTTCTGGGTGGACAGACTTG